TGTCTACATCTTTGTCTGACTACAACTTATGATTACCTTCTGTCTTGACAAGTTGAATGAAAATACCGTGTGACGAACACCACGAACAACATGACGATGTCTCTTTTATCCATTAATTTTATTTCCTTCTCACCAATGTGTATCTGCTGAGCGTTCGTTGTCCTCTATCAGAGTTCTGCTCTAAGATCTGCTTAGGAAGTTTTTTCCTAATGTTGTTGTTTGCCTATTGTGGGTATGTGGATGTCCTCTCCTATCCAACAAGCTGTTCATAATTGTCATGGACTGTTCAGCCACACTTCTATACTCGAGCGTGTCTAGTGATGTCGTTGATTTAATTGTTGTAAAACACAGTATCGTTCCACCACTTACGGAAAATTCACCATGACCACCTTGGTTCTCAATTTCCGATCCACTATGTTCAATTTCTTCCAAAGCGACCTGATATGCTTTCCCATTTCTCTCATTTCTTTCAATGATTTTTTGCGAGCAGCCTATGGACAATGCAGTCCAATTCGTCTTTGGGTCATATAATTACAGCGTATGAAATCCAGCAGTTCAATTGTTGATCAGTTCTCACAATTATCGAATAAAATGATTGCATATAAAACTACTTTAAAATATCGTAACATAGTAGACGTGTATTGTAGAACGGTGTATCAAAGATTATTGTTTGATAATGGGTCATTTTTCACCACGTATAAGAGTTGAGTTTTCGAAGAAAATACGAATAAAGATAGGGAAAAAGAATAAGAACGAAGGAGAATTGTATCTCTGATATGTAGGGCACTAAAAGACCGAATTTCAGGAACAAACCAAGAACGAAAACATGGAGATCCTTTGGAGCGGAAAGGGAGAGGTATCGATGGCCACGCGGAATTTGCTATCATTGTGAATGTGTTGGGGTTTTTTAATGTTGGAAATATCGAAAGGTAAAAGTGAAGGCACCTGTAGAAATCTATATTATGACTTTCTTTACATAAAACGGCAATGCTGTTCCGCATTTAGTCGGAAAACGCATACCATGACAAAGGTAATAATGCCACAAGCCATGACATGTGTAAGAATGTGTGTGAAATTGTGCAACTGATAGTGAGTGTACGGTAATTTATTCAAATGGAAGAAGAAGAGAAAGTCTATTTTCTTGATCCCTCAACGCATCAAAAGCCATACTTTGCCTGTTTTTAAACATATGAAAACTGTGAACACGTACTCTGAACTCAACAGTGCCTCAGGGAAAAGGAGCTCTTTCTTTTAGTTTGCGTTCGATTTTCTCAATCTTTCTTTAATAAGTTGATAAAACGAAAAAGTTAATTTCCTCACACTGTACACGAATCTCACGAATCTGGGATGAGTAATTCCCATCCGGTTAGTGGCGAACCTATGCACTCCCTAGATGTGTTAAACCCAGACTATAACGACATTTTGTCTCTCTAAGGCGTACGTAGGTGGAAGAAAAGGAATCCCTATTTCTGCTGCGCTAATTTTACAGAGTCCTTCCGTGTTCACACCCATTTCTGCTTACAATTTGCCTTTATTTGCCTCTGAGTTTTCCACTGATGACCAGGTGATGCAGACTAAGATGATTAGGTACGACTTCAAAAGATCGGTTGAGACGAGAAGATGCCACTTGTTTAACGTAGCGTACGCCCCAGGGGAAGAATTCTTATTCATAACATGCGACAGCAGAGAAGTCGGCGGCGTGGGCACTAGCGTCCTCATCAACACGAGTTTGACATGCAGATCCATTAATTCAAACAATCCAAACTAATCTACCAACTACCAATCCAAATCAGACATATACCATTGAAGAGACGTGGGGCAATACAGAGTTTAATAATCTTCGTCTTCTACGAACCAACATCAAGCTATGACGAAGAGAAATTTGAAACTTTCTGTATGAACTTGGAGAGGTTCTACAGAGAAGAACATACCTTCGTGAATCATCATCGCAAATTTTTAAGCTAAGTTTGGACTCAAGAAAGAATCAACATGGCACATCACATCAGACATAAAGATTGAAACAGAACAAAGAGACTAACTGGTTGTCTGAAATTCATATGACCATCAAGATCATCTAAAATAAGACATAACGTTAAAAGCGTCAACGTTGGACATGGATTTTCCCAGTAGAGAATGCCATGATAAAATCAGTTACATTGCTGTAAAATGGAAATTTTACTTAGCCGATGTCGTTGTTGTCTCAAAACCTTGAGCCAAATTGGACCACTGGCTCCTTTCACGCAACATTCCGTTTCTCTTCGAAAAGTGAGAATCGCGGCAAGTGTAAAAGACGAGGTCACAAAACCATCATAAACTTGGACTTATTCAGAACACTAGTCGGCTATTGGAAAGACAGCGTTATCGAAAAGATCTTTGAAGAATACGGTTGCCTTATTAAACATGTATTCACGTTAGTGCTGTAAAAGTCAACAATTGGAGAAACACAAACAGCCGCCTGTCTCTGGGAATGTTTGACCTAGTACACCAAAGTGAAACCGCGCAAGAAATGCACAGCTTCCGACTCACGAGCTTACAAATCATGTATTTGCAGCGCCTAGTGAAAATTTGTCAGTTAGCAAGACTAAGATGGTTGCGCTCGAACAGCAACACAGAATAACTGCAACTTCCAGAAAGGCACCAGAGGAAGCCATATGCGACTGCAATTCTGATTTCTTCAAAAGTCACATTTTTTTCTTAAGTAAAATTAAAGAGGATCGATATGGCCTTTTACTGGCTCTCTCTTTTAGAATCCAACAAGCTACGTCGTCGGTAAGAAGCTGGCAAAGCGATACCTCTACGCCGAAAATATTCATATTCGTCCTAGAGGCTACCAAAAGATTGGAAAAAGACAAACAGGAGTGGAAATCGGTGGCTGGCAATTGCACTATCTTTGATTTGCTGATGAAATCGCCCTTGTACCAGCCCAGCACGAGCTAGGTGGAGCTAGTGCAAGCCGACTTTAATAACTAAGTTAATATTTTTCCCTATCGCGTGCAAGTGTAGTCCAATGAGTTCTGCTCGATCTAGGAACCCATTGAACATCACGCCTTCCTCCCATGACTTTTGTGAATAATTATAACCAATCGAGTCGGTAGTCTTCCTGCTGTGCGTTTGACATCACGACGAAGCAAGTCACTAATGGCTGTTGTTCATCGGTTGAGGTTCACCTGCATTACTTGTCTAGCCGACCTTACCTTCGACAGCTTTGCGTACAGAACTGCATGTCTGACTTTTCATTGTTGAGTCGATAGACACTTCGAATACCCAAAATTAGTTCTTTGATACGATATACTATTAGAGTCGTCCATTCGACTGCACGTTTCACAACAAAGGGTGACCAGTGATCCTATTTAACTAGCGGCTAGGTTTCTGGCGAACACGTCAACGGGCGGAGAATAGTGGAGTCAAAGAGGTGAGCAGAGTGAGGTGTTCTTTGTTCTCCTCACTGTATCTTCGGTGCTTTGAAGGTTTCTAAGAGGCTCATTTCTCCCTGTTCAACTCCGGAGTTAAGTCATATTGGAACGCACAGAGATATTTGTGCCACTGAGTGTGAATAGGACACACGAACCAATTCGGTCCTCATAAATACTGTTTCTTCGTGAGATTTAGTCAAAGGCTAGCTCTTTAGCGAGTGTTATCAAATTCGGGAAGCATTCGTTTCGCCTGGCAAGTGGTTGGTGTTATAAGCACGATGTTATCAGCAATGCGAAGATGGTGTACTTAGCAACCACCGATTCTTACTCCACATTGTTCCAGTCCAACGTACGCGTGACATTTTGGATGGTGGCCGTGAATATTTTTGGCAAGATGGCATCGCGTTGTCTAAACACTCCTTTTACTCTTACATTAATATCTTCGTAGAATAGTAATATTTTCTTCGTGAAATGTTTACATTGGCCAAGAGCAGTCCGTATATGCTGGGTAAAGGCGCCCTGGCTCTCCAGAGCTTCCGTCACTGCTTCTGCTACAACTGAGTCAATAAAGGCGAGAAAGAGAGAGTGCCCTCTTGTATTTACGAGAAGCTCCAAGGAGTTTTGTTATCATAAGGATGTGTTCCATCGCACTGAATACTTTTCGAATTCTTGCGTGGTTTATAGACGGTAGACAGCAAGCAGATTGGGCTAGAGTTGCCAAAATCGTGGAGCTCACTACTCTTGAACAACAACAAATTCTTGCTGATTCCTCATTAAATATTAATCCTTCATGCGGGCAAGTAACTTGTGAATAGCCGAGTAAGTGTGTTAATGAAGACTCACGGGGTGTTCTTCGGGAGTGGAAGTTTTACCCGCCTGGACCTGGTGCTGTTCGATTCATCACCGATGACGTAAAGCTGCTTCTCCTCCCTCTTCAAGATTTTGTTTAGTCGCCTATCTGCATTGTTTACCAAGTTCGAGTGTGAGCTGGCGGTAGTCTTTAGCTTGCCCTATTAAACGCTGGCACATCAGTTCGACTGTTTTTGGAGAGAAACCTCTCTTTTGGAGACATCCGAGCTCTCAGGTTGCCTAGCCCTAACGTAAAGATGTTGAATGCGCCGATCGTAGTCGTCGACGTTGTTAGCAATAACGATAACCCATCAGATAACGAATATTCACAACAAATTCCAACTTCTACTAGTTGTGAGATTTCGTTTTTTGGACTAAGCTGTTTTTCCTCCTCCATTTCGCGAGAAATGGAATCTTGCATGAAGGATTAGACGATCCGCTCAGCGTGTAGATTTTTGGAAAACAGAGAGATCGGCTAGGCAAAATCTTCGATTTTTATACGATCTTGTTTATTTCACTATCGCATTCTCCATTAGGAGAATCCCACATCCAGCTCTGAAAGTAAAGGTTTTGGAATTGTGAGTTACCACAATAGGTTACGGGCGTTGTGATAAACCCAGACAAGCGGTCACCTTCCTCGCTCCATTCTAGGAGACGGTGCTTTGATGACGAAAATTGTCCAAGCCGGTCCGCATCTCTACAATCGTAGACGTCCGATTCAGTTTGTTAGTTGCTCAAATGGATCGATGTTCATGCCTAAACACGTGGCGACGAGGAGGCCGACGACGACGACTCTTCTATTATCGCATGTTTAAAGGAACACTTCTTTCCGGTGTCACAGATGATGCTGAATGGATGGCATCTCCTCGTTTCAGCCAGTTCGTTGACCTCATACCTTGTCCTTCTTCTCCGCAAGTTCAACTTATCATCAAGAACCCAGATGCAAGTGAGCGTACACTGTAGGTATAGATAGTCACCTCAGTCCTCTTTGACTTAATTAGCCTAGAATGGCTCTTACCCAGGTATAGCCTGTTGAGCACTAAACGTTGGAGCTGGGTATACTCACGGGTAGCTTGCGAGCATCACAAAAAGCTTATTGGTTACAGACGACTACCACTTTAGCTGAATTCACTCGTAGAATAGAATTTTCGTAAAAGAGAACATACTAACGGACGCAGGTATGAGCGTGTCTAAGTAGACACAGAATCTACGTAGCAAATCGGAGAAACAGACAGATTAGCCCATTTTTAAAGCCACCTGCAACTCGGAAAAGTACGGAGGCTTTTTAGTCCGCAAATAATGCCCTATCGGCCATCCTGGGAGAGCGTCACGTGATCCCTCCACTAACGTGTTAAGAAACTCTGTGTGATAAAAATGTGAAGGGGCCACCAGCAATAATTATGTCTATTGGCGTTGCACTGACTAGTCTTCGAAGATATTGATGCTTTCGGCAAGAGTTTGAAATTTGGGTTTTTTTTTTTAGTTTTCTGGGAATTTCTTTCCATAGGAGAAGGGTCGGTAATCAGTGCTATATGAACGAAGAGCGCGTGCGGCGCAGTAGTCGGAGGTGCATTGCAACACACACGTGGAATCGATCCACGCGCCATGGCCCACCAAGCCTTCCATCCTTCCGGGTTCGGTAAGCTGCTACCAGACTTGTCTGGTAGGATAGCACCACTGGCTCGATATATCGCTAGGCCATCGCAAATCGCTGTGAAGGCCAGATATGCATTCAATCACCTCCAACAATACTTGACTCGAATACCACAGTGACTCTGGGATATAACCAGGATTCGGAACCTCAGTGAGCTTCGAACCTGTGTTTACTCATTCCGGATCCTGCTTGTTATCCGCTACACCACCGAGGCCACTTGTTTTTTCTTTCTCTCAGCAAGTATTTTATACCAACGATGCTATCAGCTGGCGGCGACGATGTGAAATGAAGTTCACAGTGGTCGTCTCCCTCTCGAATTTTTTCTCAATAAAGTATAAGTCTGATTTTTTCGAGCTTTTATGGGTGTCATGGAACTTCAAGTTTGTTTAGAATTAGATCTTTGAGAAATTAATTTTTGGAATTTTAATTTAAAAGGGACTCGTGGCTTCACCATTTTTCATACATGTGGTGTTTAAACTTCCTTTCGCTTTCGCTGTAAATACCACCGTGGCTATCGTGGCACCAATACCACCGTGGCTCTTTTGATCTTTTTGCACTTTATCTCGAGTCAAAAGAGGTTAGCTAGTTATGAAATTTCTTGAATTTATTCCGTGCTATGTATTTTCGCTGCATTGGATTGTTGGTGTCTGAAAGTGTAAAGTGTCCAATAGTAGTAGCTTTTGCAATCTTTATCAAGAAGGGATACGATTTTGCTACAGTTAATGATGGCTTCAAACAACTTATACAATCATTCATGGTCTGCAGCTTGTAGAAAGTTGACAGCTTCTCACGAGTGCTCCCCTGCTTTTCTAAAATTTCTCGTTGCGGTCACAAGTGTTCGATGATCACCTTGCATATCAGTATGGAGAACGGAAGGACGCATAACAGTTTATTCTCATCGTCAAGGAGCCAACCTTCTTTTACCGTCTGCCCACTCAAGTTAACCTTTTCCATGCTTGCAGCCTAACCGTTTGCTAATCTTCAATTCTCTGTAATCTCCCAACTGGGTTCTCTTCGTTGGGATGGTGGCAAACTAATCCAGAATTTCTATTTCGGTTATTCATGAAAAAGCCGAAATTAGCTCGTAGCATCCGAAACAGCACGGCTGATAATCGAAGACCGTTGTGAACGGTGAATGTAAAGAAAACGAATTGAATGGAAGCGCTTGGATCCGAGCAGTAGATGTCACAACGAATCGTGTGAAATTAAAAATAAAATAGAAATTTAAGCGGTGAATATCGCTGTAAAAATACTGGATAGGAAACCCATCGAAAACTGAGGAAATGGTGAACAATTCAATTGAAAACGCATAAAAAGACAGTCTAGCTTTGTCGAGGAAGCATGGAAAAAATGTATTGTAGAAATAGCAGTAAGAAATGTGATAGAGACTTTGAAACAACGATACGAAAACAAGTAGCCGCTATGCAACACCATCTCAATCACGTTAGTAAAAGGCATTGTAGACAGTTTCGAATGTAGAAATGCAAAAGGAATTGGTCGTAAATAGCCAGCAGCCAATTCGACTAAACCTCATTTCATGACTAAATGGAAGCGTCATAAAATAAGGATTATCAAGAAGCTTCTCATTGTGCGTGAGAAGCTCCAACTTTTTTGAGAGTCAAAAGCATAGTTATCATCACAGGGAACGACAGTGGGAAGTGAACTTACCAGGTATGTATTTCCTTCTGTCTCTCACCTTTGTTTTAGCAGGCAAAGGTTGCACTTGCAGTATCTTTGGTGCAGGAGTAACAGGAGTATTTGACGATAAATTTGCTATGGAAAAGACAATCTGAAACAAAACTATGAAAAATGTGATAAACAAGTTATGCTGATAGTCGTGCTACATACTACAATATTTCAGGGCAGGATGTTATGTGAAATAGAAACAAAGTGATGCTGAGATATTTGCAAAACGCATGTATCTGTGGTTGGGATCGAACGCCTTTTTACCCTTTCCAGGGGTTTTCTTCCCAAGATCAGCATGGCGTCGAAGTAAACGCGTTAATCCCCGAAAAAGGTAACAGAGTGTTCGATCGCTACCGCAGACACCAGATCCAGAGGCTTGCAAATATCTCGCTATCATTGTGGTTATGTTGAAAGCTTTCTAACTACATTTCTGTGACACCTCATGTTAACTGCGTCAGTTGGTTTTACAAAGATCAACTTCGCAAATTCTCAAATGGAGCAATCTGGGATCCTATTAGTTAAAGGCTAAGCCGAGACCTCGCAAGAAGGAGTTGATTTAGATAAAAATAGCATCAACACAATAACTTCAAATGCATTCTTCTACTAAACAATGATAGATCGAATTGCTTCGAACTTCAAAAAGACTCTGAATAGTTCAGAGACAAATTTCCGAGTGTACAATATCCTTTTAGATTGCTTAGCATGCTAGTAAAACAATTGTACCTTGAAATGAAGTTTTCTGGACGTAGTATTGCAAAAATGGGGAAAGGAACTAACGAAAAGAAGAACGTATGTTTGACGCAAATTTTAACCTAAGAAATAGGTTTCGTTGTTATTATGAAAGTGGAGCTTCGATATTTTACATTGCATGGAGTTACAGATTTTGGGCTAGTTATACTGGTAGTGGATGGAGGTTCAGTCGACGTGTTATTCAGGTAAAATCGAGTCGAGCTGCATGATCTTTGTTATTCGACTTCACATACCGAACAAAATTTAACTGATAGTTGATAATAAATATCTCACAGAGTTCTTCATAGAACTCCTGATATTTCGGTTGGCGAATATTTTTCGAATTTTTAAAAAATCGTTCTCAATTCCTTCAGCGATAATCTACAAAGACCCTTGGCTTTGTAACTGCATATTAATGTTGAGCAAAAATGAGGCCTTTAATCTTGTTTTACCCACACATTTTTTTTTCATCCCATTGATGAGTGGAGCTTCAGAACAAACACAGGGTCTTTGCTAAAATAACATCCGGGACAAACCAAGTTCATTATTTCTACCAACGTCGGTAAACTTGTCCAGGGATGAAAACACTAGCTTGATACATTGCCGAAACTGGTGAACCAATTTGCTTCTGTATAAAAGGACACCTCGCCGGTAAACTTGAACTAAACACGCCACTAGGCACGCATAGGATGCAGAGACATAACGGGGAAATTTATGAAGTAGAGGCTACGATCCTCGTGCGGTAATCTCAAACAAAAGCGCTCAAAACTCCTGACGCCTTCTGGATTAATCCCGATTATCCGAAAATGAACCGGAGGGAGGAATGCCTCATAATCATACGTGATACTGGGCAGCATTTAAATCTGTTGTTCTGACAGGAAGAGCACATCACGCATGCATGTGAACTCTGTGCAGGAAGTCTCCACGTGGTATATTCAGTGGGAAGACTCGCAGAAAGCGGTGAGTGCGCTGAGAAGTTATCCTGTGTTTAATGTGATTAAAATCCTGGTTTCTCCGAAGTGTTTGGGCGGGTAGATGGCGGTCAACTTGACCTTTGTAGGCCCCGAGGAAGGCGAAATCAGCCAAAACTTCAGCTTGTGCGTAAATGAAATAAATTAACACCTCGCGTTTGCAAAACAATAATATAAAAAATTGTTCGATCAATGCCAGGGTTAATAGAAAGTCGGTCGTAGGTGTTACTGGCTTGATAATCGGCAAACCTCCACAGGTTATTGTATAGTTCCAATATGCAATCAGCCACATCTACGATGTTTAAAGGATAGAAGTGGGTGGTGCTTCCATAAAGGATAGAGAACAACGGACATTTTATCCTTTGTCAAACACAAGCAAATGTCTATTCATTGCACGAAATAAAAACCTAGTCGCTAGGCCGCATCGTTCCCTTTTCCGTTAGATTCCGACTGTTTTACAGCTGCACACTTTAAAAAAAGCTTAGATAGATAAATATGTTTCATCTGTACGGAAAGACCTGAATTTCGCGACTGTAGAATAAAAAAGCTTTTTTCTCTAAGTGAAAACTTGCAAGTTGCTGTAATTTTCGTTTAGGATCATGAAGGTGAAAAATGTCTGCACGGAACTGAATATACCAGTTTTTTTCAGTCACTCAAGGGGATACGGTGTCACATTTTAGAGGAAAATTATGATAACGCAATTATTACCTACTGTCAATTCAGTCGTCACCACAGGTATGGTAAATTACAAATATAGGAAGTTAAACGTAGGTTTCTTTCTTTCAACAGGACTCGGCTTGGCATGTCATGGTGATCCCAAAACTTTTTGCATTCGCTTCATTTCATCGCATTCGCTTTTCACAAAGGTCTTCGAATTTCTGAGTGCATATTCCGTTTTTGCTTGGGCATTTTTGGTCCTCTGAAAGCTGTTGAATGATATTCGGATCGATTCTTCTCCGAATCCTGTGGTAGCGGTCTTATGGCGTTCCCAGGTCTTCATAACATATAAGGGCCATCTTTTGTGCGTGGAAAGAAGACATATGATCCCAGATGAGTCTGGTACCGATTTCCCGGCCCCGGTGAGAACGATGGCTTGGTGGGCCCAGGATAGATCAAAAAATTGGATTACAGAGCATTTATTTTCTCATAGTCAGGGCTCGTCGTGTGTTCGATTTAAAAATATGAGAAAACAACACCATTTAGTAATACTAATTCGCTCATTACCTCACCACCGTTACCATATGAGTGTGGTACCAATTTTCTGGCCTCAAAAACGGGTGGCGTGGCCGGTCGGTCGGTCGGTAGCGTTGTTTGCTCGTACGATGTGTGTTGTGAATATTTTCAATCGTCCTGAAGTTTTCCATGTGAAATAAACATGTTTATTTGATTTCCCCGTCCAGTGCTTATTGTGCGCAATTAGATAAACTATGGTTTTTATGTTAACCTTCTATTTGCTGCCTACTACAATTTTTCACGACAGAGTGCTATGTGAAATAAAACCATAATGATTTAGAAATATTTTTAAAACTCCGGACCGCAGGTGACTGCGATGGGGAACGAACGCGCTATTACGCTTCCCTAGGGCTAATGCGTTCACCACAACACCATGTGGATCTTTCTGGTTTTTAAATTTAAAGTCGTTGAACATATTGCCGAATACTGTGCTTAAATGTAAGCCGTTTCACGACCACGAATAGAAGCTATTCAGCTGCAAAACTTTCTAGTCTTACAGATTTCTGATCGTATCCACAACATCATGCAAGAATGTCTTCCACATCTTCCTACTTCTGCTGCGATTTGGTTGGATATTTTCCCACTGGAAATGAAGGTAAATCTATGTCACTCATTGGTAGTGGTGAGTCTTCAGAATCTGATAGAAGCTCTCGTCGTTTGAGTCCCTTTCAGTGTTAAAACATCTAAAGTGAAGTAAATATTTTTTGTTGTTGGAAGAAACATTTCGTTGCCACTAACGGGAGCCATTCACTTACCAGGACCTCAGACTAGAGGTAAGAGGGGCGCAGTGGTTAGAGGTGCCCAGCAACACAGACGTGGAGTCGATTCCCGTACCCATGGCCCAGCAAGTCCTCCATCCTTCTGGGGTCCGGAAATTGGTATCAGACTTGTCTAGTAGGATAGCAAAAATGGCTTGATACATCGGTAGGCCACCACGAGTCATGAACACCAGATATGCATTCATTCACCTCCAAACGATGCTTAAAGAAGCCGAATGCATGGCGCATCCCTCAGGGATTGATTAACGTTGAGAACTTGACCTTTTTTTATCCTTTTAAAATAAAATTAGGAAAATATATGTATGAAGAACAAAGCAATAGTTTCGGTTTAGCCAAATCTTTTCAAACACGTCAATCATGTTCGTAAATATTAGTACTACAGCGGAATTTGTCATTTTCAGTATGAAGTTTTCGACATGTTACTCGAAGATGGAAAAAGTCTGATAAATCTGGTGTTAAGTATAGAACAAAAGCACATTAAACCAAAATATCCTGTAACAGTCACTCGGTCTTTTTGTTAATCCTATGTCGTTACGAGGGCTATCCTTACTTTTTCTCTCATCACATCTATCCGCCATCTTTAACAATGACACTTGACCTAGCATGAGTCCTCAGATAGGGAGATTGCGGCCGATATGTGTCCACTGGTATCATTGCAAGTGCTGCTGAAAATTAGGCATCGTCGCTAATGTGATAACGAAATGTCCTTGATAAAGCAAGGTGAAATTCCGCAAGGTGCAAGTTTTGTAATTGGACATTTGCAGAGGGAACGTACAAAGGTCACAGTGAAGATATCGTTGGCGAACGTGTAAAGAGCGTTTTGGTCCAGCAGGTGTGGACAAGAAGTCTCCCTGGAATAGCAGCTTGTTCGTTGCCAGAAGACAGCAACACACTTCACAACATTTGGACGTTCCTTTCTGTTTAGTGGACAATTTAGCACTGCTTCATTTAAAAAAATAAACCTCTGTGAATAAAAATACACCATAAAAATCAATTATTTTGATATATGTCAACCGAGATCTTTATCTTTCCATACAGTTGCAGTACAAGTTTACTGGCGTAGGAGCAATGGAGCTCTTTGTTAGCCAGGATAGCGGGATCGAAGCAAAGACTGCATGTATATTGCCAAACACTTCAGATCACTGCACTGCACCATTTATCACTAATCACACTCGAGTTGATTTTATTTAGTGTCATGGCTTTGCCATAAAGGGGAAACCATGTTAAGTACCGTATCTCTCACTGACGAAATAGCATTAGTTACCGACTTACTATAAAACTCAGTTGCAGTAATGAATAAGACTTTTACATGACTGAGCTGACAAGAGCTTGGTATGAAAATTTCATTGGTTAACATCGGCTCGCTTTCGCCTTACTTAGAGCTGAGTCGATCCGTGTCGATCGATGGTAAGCGCACAACCAGTTGATGTCGGCTCGAGCACGGCCCGCCGAATTGGAGATCAAACTCGAAGGCGGGAATCGACCCGTCTACGAAGTGGGCGAAGATGAGTATTTTATATTGCTTTTACCCGAGTTTCAATTGGTTTAAATTGTCCTATCATTGTTGCTTTCGTGTCGTTTTCTTCCTTAATACTTGCTTACTTGCATACTTGGATGGCCCGCCCTCACTGGTCGTGAGGGCTCCAGCACAGTCCCAATTTGTCACAGTCTTGCTGGCTTAGCCATTTTATTTTTCAGGAATCCCGAGGTCAGCTTGGCCAAAGTGTGCTCCAGTTCATCACCACCACAGGCAACCGCCGCCCTTGTGGATCAAAGGGAGATTTGCCACCATGCGACTAGTTTGATACCAGGACGGCAGTGGATCCTGGTATTGCCTTACTGTCAACTGTTTACTTACTTCTACTGTCTACTTACTTACTTGATACTTGAACGGCTCGTCATCACTAATCGTGCGGGCCCTAGCACAATCTCCATTTTTCGGAGACTTGCTGGTTAAGCTATTGTGGTACCCTAGAATCACGAGTACAGCCCGGCCAAAATCTGCCCCAGGTCGTCACCACGACAGGCAGTCGCAGCCCTTGTGAATGAGAGGGAGATTTACCACCATGCGGCTTTGATTCCAGGACGGTGAGGGATCCTGGTATTGGTTTACTCTTAGCTAGGCTTCCTGATGGAAACGCCGGACTCCTTCTCAGCCTGGGCAACCCTGCCGTGGGGATGTATCCCACTGTTGTACACCGTAGTCCGACATCTAGGAACACCTCCCAGCCACGATGAGGCGGTAAACCGTTGGAAGGTTTTCTTCCTTAATAGTTTTGATAATTTCGTCGAGGTTTAAGTAGGCTGTTTATTTAAGCAATAGTATGTATTATTATGAGATTCCACAGTATGAAGTTAATTGTTTTGAATAGCGAACGACTTTTCAGTCCGTTGTGGAAAATCTAGCAGCGAATGCTACCCAAACATCTGGCCTCCAACCTCGGCATGTGGTTGACGACTGCACCATCCCACATCAAAAATCGATGCGAACGTACGGGATCAGGTCGCGTATGATCTCCGGGCATTCGTCCCTGCTATTCATTGTAGGGTTTTTGGCATTGATCCAAAAAGCCTCTAGGAGTTTTCGCGCTGGTGTTTTGGACTCCTGTGCAAGGATATTGACTTTTACTTCAAAATCGTCTCCGCTATGCTTTTGTATCCTATGCGTGTCTAGTGGGGTGCTTCGTCTTAGTTTTCGTTTGCCATTTAGGTGTTCTTTTATACGGATACACAAAGGTCTGCCCGTTTCGCCAATATATTCATCTCCTCAATTGTTACACGAGATCAGGTATATCGTACCTGAACTCATGCAATCACCGTCCCTGACGTAAGGGCAAATTACGCAATTTGTTGTTTCACACAGACGGTCATACAGGCGGTTGCGAACTAATTGGCGACGTCGAGTAGTCGGTGGTATTTCAACTATCGCTACCGATTCCTTTAGACCTGCCCTTCTTAAGCATCGTTTTATAGCTNCGCTTACTTCATCGCTTATAAAAGGCAACATAAACGGGATTTTGTTTTGGCCAAGCGTTTCGCGTGGGCGCGTCGTTCTCCTTGTAAACTTATCTCGTGGGGTTACTATTTCGTAGCCAATGGAGATGGCTATTTGCCGAGCCAAGTCGCGCGATTCTTCCTTTAGT